TTTTATTCTGGGATTTATTTACCTTCTATGCCTGTCACTGGAGCTGAGAGCCGGCTTTAACTCTGAGGCTCTGCTCCAGCTCTGAGACCTCAGCTGCTGAAAGCAGGTTCCTGGGCTTTGTTTACCTTCTGTATTTGAAACTTTGTTGCAACTCCAGCTCTGACATCCCAGCTGACTGAAAGCAGATTTCTGGGTTTTTGTTTAGCTTCTATATTTGCAACAATGTTTCTTAGAGAGCAGGTCACAGCCCAGCAGTGGCAGGCAGGGAACATTGGCTTTCTCCGTCACTGGAGCAAGCAAGCCTCCTGTTCGCTTCAGGGGCCTGGCTGCCGGCCACCATCTTGGTTGGCAGTTAATTTGCATATCCTGCTGATTAGCCAATGGGAAGGGTAGCGAAGTTATGGTTAATTACCATGTTTCTCTATTATTAGATAGGAAGATAGTGTTGCCTAATTTTAAATCAAATGTCAATTGAAGAAACGAATGTTTGAAGGTTATGTTGCCTTCAAATAAACAGAAAACAAGTAATTTATCACTTACATGATTTAGAACTACACCAAAACTAATTTTTTTAACGAATTCTAAGAATTAGATGTTTCAAATCAGAATGCTTTAAATAGTTATGACAATTTGTTGATGTCCTGTTATTCTAAGATGAATAATCACTAAAATGTGTATGTTAACTAAAAGTAAATATGCCAATAGCAAGGACACACAATAAAAGTTTAGCAGTTTAAAAAAATTAAGACTTTTCTTTATCCCATGGAGAGGGCCTGCCTTAAACTGAACCTAATACAGAGAAAGGTAGTACCAAAATACGAAGAGAAAGAAGATTTTAAGGGCAAAGAGAAAAGAATAGAAGAGTATAGAAACAGAAGATCATAAAGATAAAGAGAAAGAATGAGGAGAACTGAGATATAAAACCTTATGGATACTTTTGGACACAGCCCTAAATTCCCTTTTATTTTTTCCTAGAGACCCAGCGCGCAATTGAAATCACGCAAGGAGGCGCCCCGCCTCCCACCGTGTGAGGAGGCACCCCACGGGCCGCTGTGGGAGTTAGGCCAGACCTACACTGTGGGTGGCCAGGACCCGTGCCTGACTTGCACAGCGCCGGCTGCCGTGGGAGTCAGGCCTGATTGGTGCCGTGGGCAGCCGGGACCGCACCTGACTTCCACCCCAAGCCTCCCCAACCCCCTGCCTGTGTCTGTCCTGGGCTGCCGGAGCCACCGCGCCAGCTCGGGAAGGCCCCACTGTGTCTGTTTCTATCTCCTCTCTGGGCCTCACCTGTGCACACAACCTCCCCCTGTCTGGTCATGATTCGTTATGGTGTCCCAGCCTAATTTGCATATTACCTTTTTTATATATGTACTAGGGGCCTGGTGCATGAAATTCGTGCACGAGGGGGACGGGTCCCTCAGCCCAGCCTGCCCCCTCTCACATACTGGGAGCCCTCAGGGGATGTCCTACTGACGGCTTAGGCCTGCTCCCTGCTCCCCTTGGGGAG